TGAAGAAATTGATAAATGTTGGCGTTTTGTTTATGATACATATACAAAACATCGTGATGCATTTGAAATACGTACATCATCATCAATTTCAACAGCATCACCATCACATGAAAGAAGTGCATCGACTGCACCACGCTTGTCATCAATATCATTAACACCATCATTAATACACGAACAACGTCATTCATTGTCAACACCTGTAACTCCGTCATCAACAAGCCATTGTCATAATCATATAAATAATTTAAATAGTTTAACACAACAACAATATCAAATACAAACATTTGAAGAATTCATGAGACAATATGTTATGCATATTGGAAATGAAACAAATGTTGTATCACGTATAGCTGTCAAATCACATTCACCATTACTTGCTGTTAAACACCCACATCATTCACATGAATATCAAATATGTGCACAGACTTTTGACAAAACATTAAACGATATTGTTGAACGTATTTGAGTTTTAGAAAATTTTCATTGTCTAAGTGCAACAAAAAAAACAAAAAGACCATGTGATCCGATTATTAAAGTCTTCCTTGAGATAAAACATCTGTTCTTTTTTTTTTCTTTCCTATGTGTACAATAATGCTTATTCTTTTTTTCTGTCTTTATCTATATATCTTGTCTTGTTTTCTTTTTCTCTGGAAATCGCGACATACAAATGCAACAAAAAGAAAAGGATAACGATTCAGGATCACATAGGTTTATCTACGTATGTGTATATTTGATGAGCAAAGAACCAGATTTGTATAGAAATAATGTTTGCTCATCAATAATATCACTAGTTTCAATTTTTTTTTGTTTATTATATTTTATTTTTTGTTTTCTTAATTTTCCCTGAAAAAAAAAACAACAACATGCAGTTAATTTATTGCCGAGTGAAAGGATATCCTATATTTGGTAATAAAAATGATCTATCTGAATAAGGAAACTTTTTCTTGTTATTTTTCTCTCTCTCTATCTTTCTTTGTAATATTATTTTGATTTATGTAAAAACAAGCAACAAAAAAATAACAAGACCTCTATATAATAGACCTCATCATATTTACATATAATAAGGGAGAAAATAATTACATTAACAGTTCTAATTAAAAAGTCATTTGTATGAAAAGTTTATAAAAAGAATTGTTCGAAGAATTATTATTGTTAAATAATGCATAGCCTTGTTTTTGTTTTTGCTGAAAAGATTTTTATTATAAAGATTAATGAAATAGTTTTCGAAATTTGGTCTTATGTTTTTGTTTGTTTGTACGCAGCTCATCATATTGATAGTAGTGAAATTTATACCATAATTGAAATATCTGTACAGTAAAATGACTCATGCTTAATATACTTGATAAGAACTTTTTAAAACACAAACTGTAATATTCTTTTGTTTTTCTTTTCTTAGAGACATTGAAATATAAAGTTAAGTAAAAGTTAAAGAAGAAGAAGAAGAAAAAATTATTCTATTGAGAGAATACTTGAGATAATGTTAGTTGAAGATTCTTACATATTAGTATTTCTTTGAAATGTTTGAAAATTCATTATTGAATCTTTACATAGACTAATTTGAAAATAGATATAAAGAAAACTTCCACAATGAGTTTTATGTAAGAATTCTATTAAGGGCTCTTAGTGCAGTCCTATTAGATGATCTCTCATTTGGATCTCTTCTTAAAATCGGTCATAATTCATCAAATGAGAAGAAAATGATAAGCCATCACTAATCTTTATGATTAGTCATGTAAAAAATTTATTCTCAAATGTTCATTACGGCTTAAAATGAATGATATGTTAACAATCCTTGTTACGACATATCTATTGAATACGAAAAACAAAAACAACAATATGTACAATTCACAATTAGACATTGTAACTCAGTTGTACTTAGTTATCAAGGTTTACATTTAACAATTCAATGTGGCAAACTCTCAAAAACAATATTTGTGAAGAAAAACAAACCGCTTAATGTTTTTCATCATATATAGACATAACACGCCTGAATATTATAAGTGTTGATAACTCTCATATTTTTCCTGTTATTCTGTATTGTAGAAGTTATTCTGTTCTATATTAAATATAATTATGAATAATTGTAATTGATAGTACTAAGACCGAACTAAGAAGTCATCGAATGAAACCGCAACGATACAGGACCAAAATCGAAGACAAGCCATTCTATGCAGCGATAAATTGTTTCCTTGAAACCAATTATATATGAAAATATCAGATAAAATTTTCTTTGATGATTCATTGAAAAAGGTTACACATCATAGTAATCTATTTTATCGTTCTAGACAAACTACATACTATCTTCAGTAAGAAAATACTGTTTTGAAAAACAGCTGGCATTGTAAATATTATTGTGTTTGTCCATATCCAAAAATATCTCTTTATTTTTCTCCTCCTACTCCGTCAAACAATCATTAGTTGACAGGTTCTTTAACTGAAAAACACACTTATCTATGTGGTGTTGTTGACAGAATCATCGCCATTTTTGAATTATTCAGTCTATATACAAAGAAATATATAGGCATAAATATATTTTATCCACAGAAGATAAACGCAGACCTTGTCCGAATATTCTACATATCAAGAAGATGAATGTAAGTCTTTGAAAGTAAACTGAGTCACATAGATATTTATACCTATTCTAATATTTTATTGTATTATATGTTATATAATGTTGAATGATGAACATTTATAAGAGAGATATATTCGAAATTTGAGTTGATTTCAGATGATCGAAGGAAAGAATTTATATGAGAACATGATTTCATTTTTTTTTATTTAATACCTCTTATAATCCTTCTTGCATCAACACTTATTCCTCTTCTTCGTTTTTCTTTCTTTGTCCTCTTTGTTGAATAATCTGTTCATATTCATTATGTACGCCTATATCTATCTATAACAGTCGCCACTGATTGCTGTTGATCATGACTGTTGTAAGATAGTAGCGTATCATCATACACCCACTAATTCCTTTTTTACAAGGCAATACGACAAGGAAAAGTGAGATGATGATGATGATCATGCAGATGTGCTAGTCCTTCTTCTCTTTTAAGCTTTTATTCATTACTCAACTCTCGATAAACGGCACAACGTGAAACGAAAAAAAAAAAAGAAAAAACTAAATAAATAGTCCTGCTCGCTTACATATATATATAATCGATCATATCGCTTACGAACTATAAGTTATTTAATCATTATCATAACTGGTTGTAAGAATGGTAAGTTTTATTAGACGCATATATAATTAAAAAGAAAACAGAAAATTCATTTGATAATTTGTTCTCATAAATATTCTAACAATGTTAGGGTGTATATTGTACCTCAAGAATATTGAATACATTTGGGTCAAATAAAAGATCTTACCAGCAAATAGAGTATTAGCTGCTTATATCCACCATAGACTGAAATATTCGAAGTGTAAGATTTCTATGTCATATATTAAAGATGCAACTTTCATTAAATTTATTTTTCTGTTTTTTTTTTGTTTTGTGCTGGTTCGATAGAGCTCATCGAATTACATCTATGATATCATTACTGATAAATGTACGGAAAAATAGACCCGAAAATTTTGACTTTCGTAATATTTGTTTGTTTTATGTACGTGAAATACAGGTTTTGTAATACGTGTAAATCGACTAGCTCTATTCAACCATGACGAACAGAAAAATAAATAAATTCTGCTGAAATTCTAAATTATTAGCATATGACATAGATTATAGATATCTTAAAATTCAAATACAGTAAAACTTTCCATGGTGGGCATCATCATATAATTTATGATGAATATTTATGAAAAGTACCAAACTGTGTAAATGACGAGAAGAGTTTACTATATTTTAAACATTGTTAAGTTGTCAAGAACAATAAACCCATTCAAAGATAAGTCATAAAGAACAGCAGTTATTTTATTTTTATTAGGTAACACCATTCAAATACTTAGAACAACGCGTCCATTCCTTGGAAAAAACTGCTTGTAGAGAAAATACCGCGCTCTGATAGTGGTCATTTTGGAAAAGTTCGAAGAATGCCTACTATAGAAAGTTTATATTATATCTCTGTCTACACATATTATAAGCAGCTCATGTTTCGTTTACTGATGAGACCTTTAATTTGACTCGCATATATTCAATATTCTTCAGTTACAATATATAACTCTTTCTATTGTATAACAAAATGAACATGTTTAATTCTCAATAAAGAATTCTTTGTTCTTAAAAGTTATTCTATTTCAATATGATACACATGTGTATTTTGTCTTTAATAAAATAAAGTTATGTAAAATAATTATTTTTAACAATTTCTATGATTTTTTTTCTTCTATTATTAATTGTTTTGTAGTATTATATGGAAAATTGTTAATTGAATTTATATAAACATTAATAATGATTGAATATAGTTAACATATGACATCGAAAGATTTTGAAGTTGAAGGCTATTTAAATAAAACTTCACATAGTCGCATAAAGATCTTTTTTTTTGCCATTATTGGTTTCACTTTCAATTGATTGTTTTAATCTAATCTCAAATAGAGTTTCGATATATCTTTTTCTTTTTATCATCATTAACCTGGAGTAAAATAACTATACTCTTTCTTTAATCCAACATCCCTCAAATTGTCCTTTATAAAATTGAAATTACAACAAAAAAAAAGACGAACAGACGTCATGATAATGCTTCTTCGTTTTTCTCTTCTCTTGGACTATTGTGTATTGTTCAAGGATAGTATTATCATCATCATATTGTATATTCATACGTACAAAACGAAAGAAAAAAAGAGAAATAGTAGAAGAGAAGAGCGAACGAATGAATACGGAAGAAGATGTACCTTCAACTTTGTAACAAACAAAAAAGTGAAAGACAAACGAGTAAATAGCAATCTGTAACAAAGACATAAAGCTAAATAGAAGAATATAAAATAAAGAGAATAAACGTCAAATTAGTTGAATATTCTCTTTTCGAGGACATAATATAAATATATTTTTTTTAAAATTATTAGCGCAATGGTAAGTAAAAATTAATATACATCGAATATTTGATTTATTTATACCTGTATATAGATTATTGGATGGTTATCATTATTAATAATAACTAGTATTATATCGTTTAATAATGCTAATCCAACAAATTATACTATTGAACCACGTCATATACCAGGTTTGTCAATCAATATTTTTTTGGGCAAAAAATAGTTTTTTTTCTAGCTTAAAAAAAATCGATAAGAGTATTTACATGAATTATTATTATAGTACGATTTTTTAAACCTATCATTGCACCAAGTCTAGCAAGCCGGTGCTATGGATGTCTTGTACCGTCATCTGACTGTACAGTACCTTGTTCGAGTCCTCAGCGTTGTTTTATACGTGGACGAACACCATTCAATAAAGGTTCGAATAAATGGATATAGATTAATGCTTTTTTCTAGACGCTTCGTCAACATTGTCGGGTCGATCGGCTATTGCTATCGTAGAAGAGGACAAACGGTGTTTTGCATGTACAAGTTTTCCACATACGGGCATTGCTAGTCAATGCATCGTACCTTGTCACTATAATCAGCGATGTTATTTAAAGGCTGCCCATGCCAATGCAACGCGTAAGCTTATAAGAGTGATTGGCTTTTCGCTTTTGTTTTTAGAAGTAGAATTCAAAAACGAGAAAGAAAAGAAACTAAATTAAGAAATAATCTGAATATTTATTATCTTTTTAAAGTTACCGATCGTCGTTGTACTGACGAACGATGGGTACGTGATTTGCTCGTCGATGGTTGTCTAACATACAATGGTCTTTATTGGTGTATGTGCTCAACTGATTTATGTAATACCGGTGATTTTAATTCTATTCGTGGTATGTAAAACTAATTTGATTATAAATAACGAAACCGAATATCGATAAAAAAAATATATGTATACATATGAAACTTAATAATTGTTTATAAATTAGGTTTTGATGATTGTTCAAATAATCCTTGCCCATCGGGTACTATATGTCTTGATACAAAAGATGGATTCAGTTGTATTTGTCCACCGTGGCAAGAAGATTGTACTTATGGTGAAAAAGATTTTTTTTTGTTTCTTGAATTTATGATAATTCAATTGAAAAAAAAAATGGTTTGTTTTTTTGTTTTTGTTTGGTAGCTTTTACTGTTGGCTGTACATGTAAGAATGGTGGTCGATGTATGATGGGTCTTGGAACATACATTTGTGAATGCCCATTTGGTTATACTGGAGTCAATTGTGAAACAAGTAAGTTTATTATTGAAGATAGCTATTGTAATATTAAACAGAAGTTCAAAAAAAAAAGATTTTTTTTGTTTGTTCATGAACAAAATGTAGAGAAAAGTTTAGTTGATCAATAATAAACTTATATTTTTCGATCCATAGGAACAAATACTTCAACATCAGTTGAACGTAAGCTGCATGAAAATAAATATCCCTTTCCCTTTTCCTTTTCTTTGAAATTTCTCAGTCATACCTTTATCTTAAAATATTTATCTAAGGATTTCGTCGACAAAGTTATTCATTATCACCATCATCATCACGATGTCCGAGTCCATGTGAACAACGAACATGTACTTATCGTCAGTCAGGTCTCGGCTTGGCACCATCGAGTTGTACATGTTTACCACCTAGTCACTATTCTAACACTAGAAGTAACTGTAATACATGTATGACAAATCCGAAAAACTAATTAGATATGAGTGAATATGAAAGAAAAAATAACATTTAGATCGAGCTCCACCACAACCATACGTTGCTTGTAATCCAAACCCTTGTCAACATGGACAATCATGTCATTCGTTAACACCGTCCAGTTTCTTCTGTATGTGTCAAAAAGCTTATATTGGTCCTCTATGTGAACGATGTTAGTAAATAATCTTTTCTTTATCTTCATTGTTCTAATTTAATTAAAATAATTTTCTTCAATCTCAGCAAATCCTTGTGCTCAGTATCCATGTCCTAGTAGTCAACGATGTGTTGTTAATAGTCAAAGAAGGGCTGTTTGTGTGTGTAATCCACCATACTGTCCACGTCGTAAGAAGAAATATGTGTGATTTGTACATTTGTAAAGCATCTTGTTCATTTTATTTATTTGCATGTGTTTTTGATGAAGTTTTATTTTATTACCTACTTATTCAGGAGATATCTGCATCCCAAATCCTTGCATGAACGGCGGTACATGTCAATTGCAAGGCATGCTCAGTTTTACATGTCAATGCCGTCCTGGATTTCATGGACTTACTTGTCAGATATGTAAGTGTTTTATCAAACACAAACAAAAAAAAACATCATGCATACCATATAGTATCTGCTTATGGATTCATTATTTAACATATATTATTCATTATTTCATCGTATTTTTTTCTCTTAGGTGATGCTTGTGTACCAAACCCATGCCAAAACGGAGGCTCATGTGTTTTTGATGAACCGACAGGAGCTTTTCGTTGTTATTGTCCACCAGGATATACAGGCCGTACATGTGATATCGGTAAGTTTGTAAATATTGTACTTATCAGCATCAAGCATAAATGATTGTGTGAATATGCATGTATACATGTGTAGGCAGTGCTATTACTACTGTTTCTCCTAATCCGTGTTTACCTAACCCCTGCCGTAATAGTGGAACATGCCAAGTTAATAATGCAGGAAGTTTCACATGCTTGTGTCCTACTGGATTTCAAGGCATTTGCTGTGAAATTCGTGAGTTAAATATCAAACTCTTTTTCTTTTTTGCAAAGAACAATGATAAAATTTTTTTAAAATGTCTTACAGGTTCAAATCCATGTGCACAGAATCCATGCTTAAACAATGGTATTTGTATGCCAAGTGGGACTTCTTATGTTTGTTCATGTCAAAATGGATTTTCTGGACAACGTTGTGAAATACGTAAGTATACGAATGCAATAATGAAAATGATGAATTGTTTTTTTTTGCAATCTTCGCATACGTTGATGGTATGTCTATATTGATCGTATTAGGTGATCCTTGCGCAACAAATCCATGTTTGAATGGTGGTCAATGCCATCCGAATGGAATGGTAGGCTTCACATGTATGTGTATTCAACCATATACAGGACAACGATGTGAAGATCGTAAGTTTAA